GCCGCCACACCGTCACCGTCCTCGTCATCCTTCTGCTTCCTCTCCTTCCCTCCTACATCGTACACACACCACACATACACAACGGAGAGACGGAGTGTCCAGCAGCTTCCTTGTCTGCGGCGTCCGTCGCGAATGATAACGCGGCCGCGGCCGGCCTCGTAATCACGTGTCTCTGTGTTTCGTTGCAGCTAACATGGGTGTTTCACGATGACGAGGCGCAGATTAACAAGAAACTGCCAAAAGAATTGCTACTCAGGTACGACGACAGGACGCAAACGCGCATGATTACACGAGCTTGAAACGCGTTGAGAACGGGCCGTCGTGTTCGCGGTCTCGCGATAAGACGCGTGAATGTTATCAGCCGGGGAAGGTCGGGTTCGACAACGGCGCGCAGAGGGTGGAAACAAAAATATGAAAGACGCCTGTTTGCTGTGTCACGCGTCTGATCCCGCGAAACCCCCGGCCGTCGCGCTTTTGCAATTTGCAATCTTAACACGCGTCCACTCTGCCATGGGATTTTCAAAAAAAAAACTTAACGTGGCGCCAAATTTCTGTTTTTTCTGTTTTTTTTGCATTATTAATTCCTTTTAAGAAAACGTGTTTGATAGAATGTTTGAAACATCCACGAGATTATTGATTCCTTTTAGTCACTGACACTCTAGAAAAAGCTGAGTTTGCTCGTTATTAGCGGTGGTTGGTCGCAGTTTTAGTTGTAAAATTCTCTTTTGGAAGCATGAAGCGCAGGCAAAAAGTTTAACCGCGATGTTGGTCGCAAAGAAACCAGGTTTTTCTTTAAAGTGTCAATGACTGAAGGGATAATCAATAACTGGGTTAGCCTAGTGTTGCCAATTTCTGAAAGTTAACTAGTAGTAGATGTACATTGAGAGAAAAAATATCTGAAAAGTAAAATATATTAATTTCAAATATATTCATTGGGAAGTACTAATACCATATTTAATATTAAATCATATTAAATTCTTTTATTTAAATAGAATAAACAATTGCTTTCGTAAAAAGCAGTAGTTTTGGAAAAAATATATATAAATACGCATTATTAATATTTGGTTTATAACATACGTTATTAATATTTAGTTTATATGAATTAAATTTATATGAATAATTTATTCATCGAATAAATATTTTTTGTTTTTTTAAGTTTTTTCTCTCATAGCTTACAAGGGAAATACCAGCTGACTGCTCCGGGGATTTTGATGCGTTTTTTACAGGCTGTTCTTGGGCAAAAAAAACGACGTGTTCGGCTCAGTCAATAGGCCATAGTTTCGTAGAAATCGGTTTTTAAAAAATGACTCTAGTCGGCCGCGGCATACTTGATACGTTCGACCGTCACTATTGAATAACAGCAGCGAAGTAGGTAAGACGTTGGCTTCATACGCAGTAAGTTGTGTGTCCAAATCTTGTCTCGTGCATTTTTTTTTATTAAAAATTTGTTCTTATCTATAATTATTTATATTATTGTAGATATACACAAAAAAGATTATTTATTTAATTATATTATATTTTTTTGTAAATGAAATTTTTAAATTTTAAAATAATTATTGTAATAATTTGAAAAATCTGTATAAAGAAATATTATTACTTTATAAATTTCATCTTAATTTAATGTTATTAATTTTTATTATTTTTTTATTGTAATGAAAGTTTATAAATTTTCAAATTAATAGATAATTTGTTCTCTTATTTGTTTTCTTATTTTTCTTTTTTTCCTTATCAATCACGCAATGATAAACAAAGGTTGTGAAGCTTGTACCAACATGTGACTCTTTAACAATTCTGTATTATTTGAGAAAATAACTAAAATATTATTAGAAAATTTTCCTTTCATGTCGCTCGTGATCACTCACGTTTTTATTACATTTTTATTTATATGTCCATATGAATAACAACAACGACGACGACGGCAACGACGACGGCAACGACGGTAATAATAATTATTCCATACATGAATATTTAATTATTTACTAATTTGTAAATTTATGAAGTTTCATTAGAATCAAAAAGCAATAAAAATTAATAATATTAAATTAAAATAAAATTTATTAAAGATAATAATATTTCTTTATTCAGATTTTTCAACAATAATTATTAAAAAAATTTTAAATTATTGATTTCTTTATTTACAAGAAAAATATATCAATTAAATAATCTTTTTCGTGTATATTTACAATAATATAAATAATTACAGATAAGAACAAATTTTTAATAAAAAATGCACGAGACGAGATTTGGACACGCAATTTACTGTACTAGAACACCACATAACGCGCGCCACTTTAGCCTTTTCGTTGTACTATTTACAATTATATTACAATACTCGTTTTTACAAATTATTTTCCCAGCAAACACAATGTTACATGTAACGTACATGTTAGTTGTAATTTCCTATTCAACAATATAACTGTTATATAACACGTATATTATATAGCAGTTATATTGTTTGTTGAGTAAGAAATTACAACTAACATGTATGTTACATGTAACATTGTGTTTGCTGAGATTACAATAAATATCAAATTCATATAACGCGAACAACACAATCTGATCCGTCACATGCATCTGACAGCTGTAAGTAGATTGAGCCTAGCATATCTCGATCGAGCCAATCGAGACAGTCGGGACGGCCAATCAGCGTCGCGGAAAAGAGGCTTCAAGTTTCGATGCATTCGAGATTTTCGGTTATCACGCACTTTTTCTGATAGGATACGAAACCAATGTCTTACCTACTGCGCTACCGTTGCTGTTGTTCAATAATGACGATCGAACGTATCAAGTGTGCTGCGGCCGACTAGTCATTTTTAAAAATCGATTTCTTCGAAACTATGGCCCATTGGCTGAAACGGCCAGATACGTGTTGTTTTTTTTTCACCCAAGAACCGCCTGCGAAAAGCGCATCAAAATCCCCGGAGCAGTCACCTGGTGTTCCCCTTGTTAGTAATATTGGCGCCTCTTCACAAAGATGTTAATGTGTTGTACTTACATTGTACGCAATTCGTGGCAGCCAATGTGTCAATGGAAAGGAAAAAACATATGTAGATTGGTGTACATTCAAAATTTAGATGCATCCGTCTGAGATCCGAATCAACGTGTCTGAGAAATGTTCTGAAAAAGATTCAGATCGATCATCCCGTATGTATGTGTATATATATTATTTTTTTAATACTTAACTCTGCGCGTTCTCGTCTTCCGCGAGACGAAAATTTGTTTAAAGCTGTCGCGGGGCATTTTAATGGCGATCGCGTAAAACACGAAGACGTTACGTCCCATTAGCCTCGCGAATAACTCGAGTCTACGAACGTCCCGTTCGCAAGGCGTTAAGTACCGCGCGAAGCACGCGCGTGTACATCTACATGCATCCACATGAACTTACACACATTCATACACACACACACACACACACATATACGCATATGCAGACACATACATGCACATATACTTGTCATGTGACACGGAAAAAGCGCGCGGCGTTCTAACGAATCCTATAATTGACAGAATTCTTTCGTACCTCGATGTCGTATCGCTATGCCGTTGTGCCCAAGTAAGCAAGGCCTGGAACGTGTTAGCGCTCGATGGGTCCAATTGGCAGAGGATCGATCTCTTCGACTTTCAACGAGATGTGGAGGTAATATATAGGAGAAAGATTTTCTCACGGTTCTCGATCTGCTGGACGCGCGGGCGAGTCAATTTATTATTAAAAAGGAAATAAGAGAAAACGACGGCTACAGTCTTCAGTCTATCTGTCTGTGTGTTGCGCAGGGACCAGTAATAGAAAATATCTCGAGGCGTTGCGGCGGATTCCTCAGGCAGCTCTCCCTCAGGGGTTGCCAGAGCATCGGCAACAACTCGATGCGTACCTTAGCCCAATCGTGTCCTAATATCGAGGAGCTTAATCTGAGCCAGTGCAAGAAGATCTCGGACGCGACCTGCGCGGCTCTCAGTAGTCATTGCCCCAAGCTCCAGCGACTGAATCTGGACTCCTGTCCCGAGATAACGGATATTTCCCTGAAGGATCTCTCGGACGGTTGCCCGCTGCTCACCCACATCAACCTCTCGTGGTGCGAGCTGCTCACCGACAACGGGGTGGAGGCGCTCGCCAGGGGTTGCCCGGAACTCCGTAGCTTTCTCAGCAAGGGATGCCGCCAGCTGACGGATCGGGCTGTAAAGTGTTTAGCGCGCTATTGTCCTAATCTCGAAGCAATCAATCTACACGAATGCCGGGTACTTATCCCATTGACTCCGCAAATCCGCGTTACACCGCGATAGGGAGGAAGGAGGGAAGGGAGAGAGAGAGGGAGAGAGAGAGAGAGAGAGAGAGAGAGAGAGAGAGAGAGAGAGAGAGGAATAATTGCCGCTTGCCTGCGCACCGCCGTCAGGCTTAGATTCTCCTTCGCGGTCGTGTCGCCGTGTCGGATTTGTCGCCGACGAGAGATATCGCTGTTGCGTTTCTCGTTGCGGGAGATAAGGAGAGACGCGCAATGCGCGTGTCTCCTCTCTTCCCTCCTCCGTCTTGTAATAAAGACGGCACGATATCTCTTCTTTCTCTTCTCTTTTTTTCTTCAAGCGGAGAAAATTGGCAGAACGGCTTTCGGCCATGTGGAACGGCGTATTTACAGTTTGAATTAGATTTAATAGTGGGTATGCAGAGAGAGAGAGAGAGAGAGAGAGAGAGAAGATGGGAGGGGGGAGAAGGCACGAAGAGAAGCCGCTCTCTCGCGTCGCCCGATAGAAAGCGAAATATATTAAGAGCAAACGAGGGATCGAAGATCGCGATAACGTGGACAATATTTGAGAAAAGCTCGAGTTTCTCTCCTGTACTTCATCAGCGAGCAATCGCCACAAAGTATGGACGGCGATTAGTTTTCGTTTTCCTGTGCGTTTTCCGTACGTGTTTGATTTATTATTCATGAGAATTCGCGCTGCGACTCTCGCGACTCGAGCACACGCGCAAACGAAGAGCAAAGATCACTTTGGGATCATTGTTGCAGAATATAACAGACGACGCAGTTAGAGAACTCAGCGAGCGGTGTCCACGGCTGCATTATGTTTGCCTGTCGAATTGCCCCAATTTAACGGATGCGTCGTTGGTCACTCTGGCACAACACTGTCCACTTCTCAGTGTACTCGAGTGCGTCGGGTGCACCCATTTCACGGACGCGGGCTTTCAGGCTCTCGCGAAAGTGAGTTGAGTCGCATCTCTCTCGTCGTTGAGACGAGCCTCGAGCGTCGGCCGTTCGCGTATGTGACGTAAATAAAAACACAAATCGCTCCTCTACATTTCTCTCTATCCGACACTTTCCAACTTTCAGAACTGCAGACTACTCGAGAAGATGGATTTGGAAGAGTGCCTTTTAATAACCGACGCCACCCTCATTCACCTCGCGATGGGCTGTCCAAGATTGGAGAAACTGGTGAGTATATTGGCATCGTTTTTTTATATATCATATTTTTTTTTTCTTTTTTCTCCATTTAGACCACGAACTAATCGTCACGTATCGCTTTCTCTCTCTCTCTCTCTCTCTCTCTCTCTCTCTCTCTCTCTCTCTCTCTTTTTTTTCT